CTGTAGCCACGTGGCCGCCAAAGTCCATAACCGTAAAAAACTGTTCTGTTTAAAGGACTGCAGATCTTCGCATTTGTAAGGCTTATAGGACCGCACCCACTAGTGCCCTTTCGGTAATGTCAGGATTGACCCCTATCGACTTAGAAATGAAACGCATTATTTGGCAGGAAAATCTCATCACCTTACCCTGGCGAGATTATAGCGACTCGGACGGATGTCGACAAAATGATTACAGTAGGTAAGATTCCCCCCCAGTTTGACCTTGATTGATGATATGAAAAAATTCAGCATCGACAAAAATACCTTCCCAATTTATGATTACCATCCCTACCATCAGCTTGCCCCTGACGTTTACTTCGAAGATCCAGATGATCATCCCATGTTTTGGATTTACACTAAACGTTTCAAGATGGGTGACAACGTGGGTGCCGCTTTTGTAGTTTACTCCGACTTCGGCCGCGAGCTTCACAATGCTTGCTTCTGTCTAGGTACGCACTGCTCAATAGCACAGGAAGAAACTTTAGTTATCTATATGAGTTTAAGTCACATTAGACTTAGGAAGGACAAAAGGCACTACTTACACTATCGCATTTATTCTGACAATAGGGTAGCTTTACGCAGGATTGCAAAGTTTGATAGCCGCTTAAAACTCGTCAATCTCATACATTCTCAGACACTTAGGGTGCGTTTACTTTTGAGCTAATTTTACTATCAGCACGCTCAGCCTGTATACTTTCGTCCGAGTGCCACGCTCATTGGCGTTTACTTTAGAGCTATGTGACGTCGTGTTTAGCGAAATTGGTAAGCTCAGCTAGCTAGTTCGTTGTCGAGCTTTGGGCTAATTCATTATGGCTGCTCTCGTGAAAAAATTACTTTCCGTACAAAGTACTAAAAATGGAATTAGTTTTCGAAAAATAAACGGCAGAAAGTATTTTTATTGGTAAATTTCAATTATTTGTTGTGTAAAATGTTTACAATGATCTTTTTTTCATTGTAAGGTTCAATAGCTTCAGATGACTTTTTTCATAAACAGAGTTAATTAATGTGAAAAAAATTAAGTTCGATTCAATGTTTATGATTAAAAGTGAGGTTTACCTAATACGCATTTGGAATCTTCAGAAATGTTATGTTCGGAGCATTAAATAAATCGTAAAGAAATGAACAGCATTAATAATAATCCAAAATTACATAAGTTTGTATACTCGAATGAATTTTCACTTACATATGGGAAATGACTTCTCGAGAAATTGTATCATTTGAATACCGTTTTTTTCATTACAAACTAAACTTATATGATGACAGAGTAATACTTATTTCTATTGAAATAGGCTACCGCTTCTTCAGTTGATGTCTTTATAGCCATACGCTTGTCATCAATAGAGCCTCTAATTCCAGGAAAACCAGATTGGGTATAAAAAATTCCATTATTCTTACATCATCCTGCTGTGTGATGGCCGAGAGATCATTTTTCATTTAACACTAACTTGTAAGAAAGAATTAACAACTTTATTTAGAATGTTCCACGCAGTCCGTCTAAACATATTAAAACGATCGCCAATACCCTTAGAGGAAAGAAAGAAAGAAAAAGTGTTTTGTATTTAATATCAATTATTTGTTAATTTTGAACTCAGTTTAGTTACACCACAACAAAACAACGTCACATCTATTCACTGGGTAAAACAATTGCTTTAAATATGTGTTATACGTATGTATAATCTACTATTCTCTTATAAACTGCATCTAATTTCATATATTACTTCGTATAAACAAACCCGAATGATTCTTGATTTGCCAATGTCCATAGACAGCATAAAAGCTGCTTTTGAGGAGACAC